GAAATGCTCTCATTCTGTTCAAATACTCAGTAAGTAGTTTAATGAAATCCCCCTATAGTACTTGTATTAGACTATTTTTTGTATTTTATGATGCTTGGACATTGGGGCCCTTATGAATTGGAAAGTGACTGTCCCTCTCAGGGTGTGCTAATTCCTACAAATAACAAAGAACTTTCCCTTAATAATGCCTCTGATAAGCAAACCAACCAATCCTAAATCCATATCCCACTCATCTCTTTTTATCATGGACCTACAATCTGGGACACTACTCTAAATTATCACAGGACACTACTCTAAATTATCACCCTACTCTAAATTATCACCCTACTCTAAATTATCACAGGACCAAGTACTAGACAATTAGAGACAGTCACAAGAGACAGAGATCACCAAAATTATTTTAGCTAGCCAATGCTAAGTCTTCTTAGCTTGCTTACCCTTCCTTGCCCATACCTTACTGTGAAAACCACAATAAAGGCTTTGCCCATGTTATTCTCTCACCCTCTGACCCCTTGACTGACTGGTGCTTTCCCATGTGGCCCTGCATGATGTTGTTACAGGGCAACCTGAAAAGAAAATGGGATGCCCTGGGTGTGAGTCCTCATCCACACTTAAAAAAAAAAAAAAAAAAAAAAACAACTTAGACTCAAGTGCAGACACACAAAGAAAGGTTAATAAAAAGTTTTATTTATAAGGGAAATGAAAAGACACAGAGATTTCAACTGGTCATGGCATCCTACCCTGCCAGTAACACTGTCTCAGCTGGGATCCCAAAGGCACACTGAGGCAGACAAAACCAAGAGAGTACAGGCCCACATGTGTTTGGTTTTATACCAAGCATAGCTGCTTATCTCCACCCGCAGTCAAGCAATCCCCACTTCAGGAAGTCAAGTCATGGCAGATTCATGGCATTATGGGACATGCAATCCTTGGCAATTGAGATCTCCTTGGCACAGAGGTGGGGGTGGAGTTTATAAAACATCAGTGGGTAGAGTTCATTCAGGATATACTGGTCCACTTACAATGTGATGTGAGACCTCCTCGTGGGAGATGTAACAGGCTATCATTCAAATGGCAGTTGCACCTTGATCAGTTGACCTTACTATGCCTGCATAAAAGCAAAATCCTAGGTATATTTTTAAATAATAATAATTACAAATTTTATTAAAAAACAAAAGGAAAAATCTAAAATAGCTTTATAAACTTTCCTTTCTTTGGTTCCTCCATATATAAATGAATTATGCTGGCTGATACTAACCAGTATCAGTCAGCTGTGGGAAGGAGGCAGTATTTATTTAAAAAGTAAGTACTACTGAAAGCACATTAAAATAATACTACCCTCTTTTCTAAATATCTATTTAAGGATATTACAAAAAAAAATCATTACATTTGCCCAACCGGAAGTGAACCATGGCTCCTTCCTATCAGTATATTAAATGTAATGGTCCGCATGTCAAATACAACTTCCTCTGGTTTGCCATGAAGACCCTCTGCACTTGGCCATCCAGATCTACCTAGTCATCTCATTTTCTCATTATGTACTAAATTTTAGAATTATTTAAATGGAAATACTCTTAAAGATCTTCTAATCTAAGACTCTTACTCTAGAGCAAAGAAATTGAGCCCCAGCCCAGCCTAGTCAAGGACTTGTCCTTAGTCACAGAGCTAATTATCACCAGAGCCAAAGACTGAAAGTCCAAACATGCTAACACCCAACCCAACACTCATTCTGCAAAACTGCCAATGTCAATATCCAGTCAGTCAGAAAAGTTTTTATAATCTTACCAAATGTAACATATCATGTTTGCTTTCAAACTCACACCTTTGTTCTTGTTGCCTCATTAGCCCAGACAGCCCTGCTCTGTCAGCTTTCTTACTTCACTAGGTAAGTTACCTATAGAGCACCCAGATGTTGAGATGTTAATAAGTTATACTCTCTCATTTTACCAAGTTGGAATTAAAAGCTCTTTGTTACAGCAACATTAAATATGTATAAAACAAATATTTTATCTTATTTAATAAATTATGTAAAATATTAAATATAAAAAAATTTAAATCCTCTTCATCCTTTAAGATCAGACCTGAGCCCCCAAAGAGCTCAACTTTCTCTGAATACTGACTGTACCATAGAACACTAATGGACATAAGTACGTAGGCTGTATTAAAGTACTCATTACATAAGTTACTTCTCTCTTATTTAGAAACACTCTAAGATCCTTTAGAGAATAAACAATAGCTTATATTTCTATTTCTCAAAGTTCATAGTTTACTAATTAGATATAAATTCACAGACTATCAGAGGTACACAGAGAGACGAAAAATGCAAACTGACATTTATTCAGTATCAGGTATTTTATGTAGAGACCACATATCTTATTCTTGTATAGTCAAATAAAATATCTTTTTTACTTTAGAAAATTGCATTTTTATGTAGAAAACTTAAAATTTTATAGCCTATATATGGTTTGAGACTGCATTCCCACATACAATCATGTGTCTATGAAATCACCTTGAAAAAAATGCCGTGTTTCCCCAATTTCCCCAATTATCATAGGCCTAAATTTTGCCAGTCAATTCTAAAGGTGATGGGAGGATAAGGTTAACAGATATCACCCAGAATTACATCTTCTTTGTTCTAAGTTTTATGAAAAAGCATAATATGCTAATAAGTCTTACAGGAGCAGGAAAATACCTCTCTTCGATTCTGTGGCAGCACTATGGAGACCAGCACAATAAACAGAAGTTCATCCAAAAGGTAGAATTTAGTAAACAAAGACATAAAATGTGGAGTTAAGCCTAATAAGCACAGCACATAATGCTGTTAGAGAATACAAACAACATGGCCAATTAGGAGGATGATATGAAAAACTTATCAAAATTTTAACTGTACATATTCTTTAGCACAATTCTACTGATAAGATTTTGCCTGTGAGGCAGCTACAAGTTTCTCAAAGATACAGCAATAAGAATATTGGTTGTAACATGGTATCTAATAGCAAAAAATAAAAATCACCTAATGTTTATGGTAGGAAACTATTTAAATAAACATAGGTACATTCACAGAATGGAATACTATGTACCATTTATAATAATGACAAGATCTACATCTCTAAGATACACATGCTTAAGTACAAAAAAGCAAGGTTTTGAACAAGTAGAGTTTGAGCCCACCTAAGATCCTATATGTACTATAGGTATGTATGCATAAAGGATGTGGGGTTTTTAGCTTTCATTTTTTTTTTTTTTGATTATCATATATATAACAAGAAACAGTAAGCAGTAGTCACTTTTAGGAAACTATTTGGGGAATTAGTGAATGTGTGTGTGTGTGTGTGTGTGTTTTAATACCTATCTATACTATTTGCTTTTTTAAATCATTTACCTATATTTTGAAAAACACTAATATGTTTAAAATTGTATGAAGAAATACATGGAAACTATTAGTCTAGAAAGACATACATTGACAGACACTGATATCATCATTCAAAATTTATTATAAATCCAAGTTATGAAATTACTATCTCAACAGCAGATATTTAGAAAACACCCAAATGTTCATTGGGTTGATGTTTTTTGTGCTTAACCTGCCAATTCTTTTTTCTTGATTGGCCGGAAATGACACTTGTAAAATCAGAAAGGTTAAAACAGAAAGTAAAGGGATGTTATTAATATTTCTAGCAAAATTCACGTATGATTTTAGTGATTGAACACTTTTCTCTCAAGCATGGTTGAACCCATTTCTCCCCACAATGAATAGAGACACAGATGTGAACCTGTTTATTGTATTAACTATTAACTAAAGAAAATTGACACTGTAACTGGCAACGAGCCCCAGACTGATAGTGCAAAGCAGAATTTATCCTAAATGCATGTCTTTTTATCTGAACATCCTTTAAAATAATTACATGTCCCAAACGCCTCATAATTCAAATAGTAACATGGCCCTTAAAATTATTTTCTTACTATTGGTCAAAGAAATCTGTTTGCATAGGGATGACATTAAACATTAAGAACATCATTCAATAGATATTTTCAGAAATCTAGCAATGCAAGTCATCATACTACAATAGCACCAACAGCACTTCTGGAATTCAAAAAAGGGGAAAATCCCAAAGTGGAATGAAAATAATGGTAAGAGCATCATAGTTACATTAGACACTGAATCGGACTTTAATAGAAAACTGGAATTTGTGCCAATACATAAGTTATTCATATTACAGGGCAAGAAAATGGAAATACTGAGAAGGGGCCTTAATAATTTGAACAATTTAAAGGCAAATGATACTCTTCAAAGATAGAAAAAATGTATGGATAGGAGAGGAGGTCTCAAATGTTAAACTAAGTAAGTTTAGAAATATTCAGTAGCTAAACTCGATTGACTATCGCACTACTGGTAGGTAAATTTTATCTAGCTTTTTCCCCTAGAAATTGTTTCTCAAACATGAGGCTGTGTCATAACTACCTGGAGGAATTAGCAAAATACAGTTTTTTGAGTCCCACCCCCACAGAACCTGATTCAATAGGTCTAGAGTGGGATCCAAGAATTTGCAGTTCTAACAAAGCCCAAGGTAATGGTGATGCTGCTGAGCCAGAGAACACAGTTGAAGAAGCACTATACAAGAATAATGCTGAATACATCAAACACCCTATCTTTACAGGGCATGGCACAGTAAACCAAAAACGCTAGCAATGGGCATCCTCACATAACTGGAGACAGGTGCAGGTCTTCCCAATTGAGTCCAATAACCACCTAGACAGCAAGTCTTCAGGATACATTTAGATCTCTCCATTCATATTCTCTCCTATCTTTCAAAAAAGAAAAGGTCTCCTTTCACCATTAAGATTACCTTTTAAAATGTACCAGACTATAATGACATTTATATTCTGTACCACTATCCAGTTTCAAGTGATTGAAAAAATACCTCTGCTGTACCATTACACCGTACATTGCTAACAGTTAGCAGTAACTATGAGGATATGTTCAGGAACTGACATCTTACCAAGCACTCATCCTGATTCAAATGCTCGTTGGAATCCATATTAAGCTTCCTCTTTCTGTTGGGCTGTTTCATGGCCACTTATCAGTCCTTAGCAGTTTTTCTGCAAAATAATACCAAATGAAAAGCTGAGAGGTTTTCGCTCCTTTCAAATTGAAAAGAAAAAAAAAACATATTTTTCAATTATACTTCCTATTTCTGTAAATAACCTGATAAATGGGCTAACACAGAGACTTCACTATTGATGTTAAAGCCCCTAATATATTAATAAAATGGAATAAAGATGATTTTCTGCCCAGATATAAATTTTAAATCACAAAGAAAATAGATTTTTTTGGTCTTACTTGTTATAAATTTCTGGTTTTAGTTTGGTTGTGGTTAGCTGATCTAACCAATTAGAATTCACTATGATCTGCCTATACAGCATCTGTACTCACATGCTCTATTTGTTCAAAAGTGTCAAGGCAAAAATATTCTTGGCAAGAGGTCTTAATCATACAAGACATAGCACAGCAATCTGAAACAGAAAAAAAATAAGGAACATTTTTAGCAATCCAAGTAAATTAATAGATAGTAGTCATAGAAAAATTGCACAGGGGTTAAAGACAGCACTATCAAGCTATGGCCAGCCACTGCAGCAAGAGTTAGAGTCCTGGCCGGCCATAATGTCTCCCATTATGAGTCCTGGCCGGCCACATAGCACAGCAGACCTCTCCTTCCTCACCCACTGCTCCCCTCAGCAGTGTATTTCAGTACATCTGCCTGTTATTAAGCTCCCCGCTCTCTCTGGTGAATCCTCTCACCTCCCGCACCTCTGCCTTACACCCCAGTTCTTGTATGCATAAATAAATAAATCTTAAAAAAAAAAAGTTATTCGGGGGCCTCCCTGGTGGCATAAGGGGTTAAGTCTCAAGCTATCGCCAGCCACTGCAGCATGAGTTCAATCCCCAGCCAGGCCGCTGACCCACATGGTACAGCAGACCTTTCCTGCCTTGCCCACTGTTCCCCTCAGCAGTGTATTTCAGTGGATCTGCCTGTTCTGCTCCCCACTCTGTCTCTGGTGAATCTTATCACCCACCCACACATCTGGCCTATACCACAGCTCCTGTATGGTATGCATAAATAAAATAGATCTTTTTTTTAAAAAAAAAGAAAAGTTATTTGGACTAAGTTTTTTGATAGAGTAGGATAATCATTTGATTACCACTGAAGCTATAATTCAAATGGTCATTTAAATAATTTTAACTATAATGTTAAAAAGTCTAATAGATCTAAATCATCTACAGTCCCAGTGCTTCGGAATCATCCATCCCACTTCCCCCTTGTATTTTCCAACTGAACAATGACCCTAAATAATGCAACTTCAACATCTTCACAACTGAACTCATTTCCCCTCACTGCTTGCCATTTCTACTCTCCCTTCCTATTCACACTGTCATGAGAAGACTACCCAGATCTCTGCTCCTTATAGTTCAGACCATGTACAAGAGTAGCAGACCTAGAAGCATGTGGAAGCTAAAATACACTCTGGGCTCTGCATAAACACCAATCCCCCTGCCACAGTTTTTTCTGCCTGGAAGAAAATGAATCTTTATCTAAATCAAAGATAACTTTTCAGTTAAAGGTGGCCATTACTTTGCTTGAGCCAGAGACCTAGGAGTTACCATCATTTCATCCTTTGTATAGCATTCCACACTGTCAAGAAATTTTGCTGATTTTTAATCTACTAAACACTTTTTGAATTCATCTTTTCCCTCTATTCCCATTAACTCTCACCCCTTCAATTTTATGTTCCAATCAACTATAGATCTTGCAGTTCTTTGCAACATGACATCCCTGCTGCTTCTCAGTGCCATAATTTTGCTGGTCCCTCAACCTTGGAATATCTTCTTTACTATGCACCTTTTCCTCTATCAACTTCTCTACTTCCTGCCCATTCTTTATGACACAACTAAAAGAGACTTCACATGCTTGAGAAAAGCCTTTCTTATTTAATTCCTGCTCCTAATGAACCAGGTATATTTTACCCACAATTCATGGTATCTGTGCTCATCTTTGTCATACTGTTCATCACTATATACTCTAGTTTCCATTTCCAGATGTCTCCATTATAAGGCTGTAAGATACCTGATGACAAAGACTGTGGATTACTGATTCTTACCTTCCTTCCATTGTCTACTTAGTATCTGACTCACAGCAGACTCTCAATGCATGCGACTTGCTGTCCTAAACTGCATAACCACATTTCTGGATTATTGAGGAGTCTCAAATCCTTAAGTCCACTGCATATTACTTATCAATCCATCTATTGTTCCTTCTGGAAAGCTGTATAACTAGACTGAGCACAATTCACAAAACATAATTCTTTCTTTTTACTATACCCCCACAATAATTATATCTGTTTTATTTCTAGTCAGATGATATGTATGTCCTTAAGACAGGCACTTACCTACTAAATTCAGTAACGTTACATTCATTTTGTGGATGTAAATACAATTTATCATACCTAGCTTCTGGTAATACTCTGAACATCTATGCAAATGATCAGCTTAGACTTGATGCCTCTAGCAAACTGTTATTGCACAAGACATTAAGTACTGCCAAGGTTGGCTCACATTTCACAATTAATAATACCCCATGGCTTGTCAAGCTGAAATCATCTGGCTACTGAAGCTTCTCTCCTGACCTTCAAAGTGATCTGTCTTGTTAATCACTGGTAATTATCTCAGTAACCCCTGTTTTGGTCCTTATTTTTCAAAGCCTAAATTTATATTATTATGTATCCAGGAAAAATTAATTTTTTATACTGTGAAGTTTCACAATACCATTTAGTAACATTTGGATTCCCTTCAGACTTAGAAAATATGAAGCAAAAATATAAAAGTTATCTAACAGCCTATATAAGATTTCATTGTCAGAAAAAAAGATCAAAAGTAATATTTTATTGAGTTATTGAGTACAATACAAAAGAGATGGGTGATATTTGTAATAATTTGTAACAGATAGACAGACAGGTTGATAGGTATGAGTAGATGGACTATAGATAGACAGTAGACAGGCTGATACACAGAAAGACAGGAAGGCTTTATACAATGGCTTCAAAATCAATTCATAGGCTCTATTCTAACCAACAACAACAAAAAAAAAAAAAAAACAGTACCTCTGACATAAACTTAACTTGAGATTCTTGGCACAGTATCAAAATATATGGGTAATTCAGACTATCCATGATATATGGCCAACTCCTAGGGGGCCCCAAATGGCACATCATCCACATGATATGTTGCTGAGTTCTTGACAGAATATAATAAGACTTTTTAGAGGCAAGGAACAACAATGCCAGATTCTAAAACACATGAAAGAAACATCATCAAGAAGCAAATGTGATGGGCGACTGGGCAGGAATGCACCTGCATCCTTTAGCTTTGAAACAATCAAGTTCTAACTATAGTATACAAGTTTATTTCACGGGATTTTAATTAAAAAATTTCTAGGGCCTCCCTGGTGGCGCAGCAGTTCGAGCTCAGCACTGTGGAGCTGGCCACAGCCTCTGCAGTGCGGGTTTGATTCCGGCCGACCAGGGAGATGCCCACATGGTGCGGCAGATCTCTCCTGTCTCACCCGCTGTTCCCCTCAGCAGTGTATTTCAGTCAGTCTACCTGTTCTGTACCCCGCTCTGTATCTGGTGAAGCATATCACCCACCCATACATCTGACCTGTGCCCCGGTTCTTGTATGCATACAATAAATAAATCTTTAAAAAAAATTTTTCTAAATACTGTTTTATATTTTTTAAAAAACTGCTAAATACACATAAGTGATTCATATTTCAGCAGAAAATACAAATTTTTCCAACTAATCATTTTAGTCAATTTGATTTCCCCTTCATGGTTAGTAAAATTTTCTGTCTGCACATTGCCAAACACTTGCTTTACTGACCTCCTAACTGAGGAGGTAAATTAAATATTTAGAAAGCATACGAACAGTTTAAATTCTTCAAATTAAAAGTTTATAGGAGTCGGGCCTCCCCGGTGGCGCAGGGTGGCGCAGTGGTTGAGCGCTGGGCTGCGAAGTTCTGCAGCGCTGGTACCATCCCCAGCCGCGGGGCGAGGGTCCCACATGGTGTGGCAGACCTCTCCTGCCACCAGCTGCTCCCCTCAGCAGTGTACTTCATCAGTCTACTTGATCTGTTCCCCGCTCTGGCTCTGGTGAATTCTCTCACCCTCCCATGCTTCTGACTGTACCCAGTGCTTGTATGTATAAATGAATGAATGAATGAATGAATGAATAAATAAATAAGTAAATAAATAGATCTTGAAAAAAAGTAGCGATTATTAAAAAAAAAAAGTTTATAGGCGTCTCCCTGTTGGCACAGGGGTTGAAGCCTCAGCACTATCAAGCTATTGCCAGCCATTGCCCATGAATTGAATCCCAGGCCTGGGAGCTGACCCACATGAGGCAGCAGACCTCTCCTGTCTCGCCTGCTCCACTCAGCAGTGTGTTTCAGTAGATCTGCCTGTTCTGTGCCCCACTCTGTCTCTGCTGAATCCTCTCACCCCCCGCACCTCTGGCCTTCACCCCAGTTCTTGTATACATAATAAAACAAATCTTTAAAAAAATAAAAAAAATAAAATAAAATAAATAAAAATATATAAAAAACAAAAATAATTCACTGCCCATATCATGATTCAGTAATTATTTTTAAAAATACTTATTGATCACCTGTTATCATCAAGACAGTCAGAGGAACTTTGCAGAGTAAAATAATGATTTATCAGGCATAAGCAGAGTAGTCATGTGCCCTGGAAAATCCATTTGCCCATCCTGGCATAATTACTAACAGCATTGACTTGAATGCTAAAAAAAAGTTCTAATTAAGTATTAAGTTATATGGTCACTATTATTAAGTATTAAGTTATATGGTCATTATATGGATAATAAACATAAATACAGGAATAGATCACATGTCATAAAAGCAATACAAAGAGACATAGATGTCCACAGGAGGGAGAGTATGTTCAATATAGATAAGAAAAATCACTGCAAAGAGATATTTTAGCTTCTTCTAGTATGCTGCATAGAATTTAAAGTGAATTTATCACCAAAATATCAAAAATAAATAACTGATCATTGCATTGACTACACACAATTTCAAGAATGTCATCAGGCTAAAATGTACTCATTTAGTTATATTTAATGTTAACAATACATAGTACATGGTGTTTGAAAAATTAAATGATTAAAATTAAGTGTATTTTGATAACTGCATGGATTATTGCTTCCTCTTAATTGTAACAACAAAAATAGCTAATATTACCTGAGCACTCACAATACCTACCATAGCCATAATCCCTCTACATACAGACTTTCAATTAGTACTTATGACAACCCAATGGCATATGTACCACTATCACATTCATATCACAGATAAATAAACAGTGAGGAAGTAAACAATCTGTCAATGGTTATATCACAACCAAGTACTGGTTGGTAAAATTCTAGATTTTCTTCATTAAAC